AATCTCAGGCTCCTTTTTCTCCTTCTGTCCTCCATGTGATTGGCATATTTTCTTCCCTTTCTGTTTTACATGAGTGCTTGATAAATGTGCCTGAAGGACGGGCGCTGTTCTTCAACCTCGCGCCGAGGTCTCCAATCCAAACACTCCAGCTTTGTTGTCGTAGCCAGAAGACGCAAGAGGAAGGTTGTTAACATTCCTGTAGAGCTCAGGATTGAGGCACTATGGTGCTAAGTGTGCAAAGTTTTGAGCATTCAAAGAGTGCACATCTTATTACAGATCACAAGAACTGTATCTTGAGAATTACTTCCTATTTCATGAACATAGTGTTAGAAAACACAAAAGAAGGAACCCACTCTTACATACACAATGCGTGTACGTTACATTACAAAATCCTAGAGACACAAAGGGAAAGGGAGTGATAGTCTAATCCTGTATCTCTGTCGCACAAACTGTTACTCACTGGTATTTACTCTAATCGAGACTACAGAGCAGGTTTGTACCTGTGTGAAGTCCTGGATCATACTTTGCTGTCAGTGGATAAAGACGGCTGCAGCTTACAATAAAGAAGGCACATGCACAAACACAAACATGTCACACACACAAATGAAAGATACACGCAAACACACGCAGACATGCTACAGAGCCAGCGGGAGTTTTTTAAGCGAGCATTACAATGCTAGCTCTGCTGAGAGATGCTGCCATCTGTCTTACAGAACAGTCTCCGTTTTCATCAGGTAATACTCCTCGTTCTGTTAGAACGCACGCACGCACGCACGCACACACACACAGACACACACACACACACGTTCTGTGGATGGAGTTTAGGATGGTGTCATTATTGCAGTTGCTATAAAACAGCGAGCCTCAGGTAACAGACGCTGAGGAGAGGACAAATAACATTTATCTAGCTGGCCATCTATGTAACATGAAGTCTGCCATCCAACATTTCAGAATGTGTTCATTTCCACAGTTCCGAGCAGAGAGCAGGGAGCAAATACGAAGAGCTAACATTTTTCTTTCTTCATTAAACTCCTCCACTGGCAGAAATCAAATGCAGATTGTTATTTTTTTTTTTTTTATTCCATTTCATTTATTTGACCGTTCTTCACCCCTAAAACCAAAATTTGCCTGTGTTTTCTTTCTCTCTGGTCCCCCTCAATGCCATTTGAGTCACTCTTCGCCTTTGGGATTCTTTCGTTGCCTTTAAGGATGTCTTGCTCATTCGCCTCCGTGCCTGTTCATGTTCATGCCAATCTTTTACTCTCCTTTGCTCTGTCACTTTTTGAGATTCAATAGAAGCCTCTTATCACATCCCGCTCTTCCTAATTCAGTATTTCTCAGAGAACCACTTTGATATACCTCTCTTGACTATTTATTTTTCTCACCTAAATTGTTCTGAGTGCTTCATTTCCCATCGCTGTCCTCTCACATTCACCTATAGACTCAAAAAGCCTGGAGTGTTTATTTTTCCCTTTGATAGTGACTCCCTCTCTCCCTCTTCACCTTCTTTAACTTTTTTTTCACTGCTCTCTCTATCTTCTCCGCTCAAGTCTCTTGGACTTTGCACGGCGGTCTACAATGAGTCTCGATGGACCTCTCTTATCTCTCTCTCTCTCTCAGTGTGACCCAAATTGTTTCGGACAGGTCCAGGGCTGCTCCCTGTGTTCGCAGTCCTTTTGTTGGGCAATGAGTTAGAAAACCGGAGCTGAAAAACATTCACAAGCTGAAGGACACAGCACACAGATTTTGGAATGTTGGCCATTTATTTTTCTCTCACAAACATTTCCTGAGCCAAAGCAAAGTTGTGCAGGCTAAAGATTTCAGACACACAATTAAGCTTTTCCAAGGTTGGTAATACAGATTCAGCTGTCAACTTCTTAGTTTGGCATGCTAGCAAGCTAACATTTGATAATTAGCCCTAAACATAAAGTACAACTGAGGCAAATTGAAACACCATTATTTTTGTAAGGGTTTGGTCATTAATCAGAGCATTAAGACTATTAGTTTGTATCTAATGATGATACAATATTGCTATTATCCAGTAGATATATTTTTGTGGACCATTGATGTGTGTTCAAAGATTCTTAGCAATCCATTCAATAGTTGTTGAAACATTTCAATCTGAGCCAGATTTGTTGACTGACAAACTGATTAAATATCAGTGTTATTTGTAATCCAAAACAATTGTAAAGCAAACATATTATGGGCTGTCAGATATTTTCTTTTGGACTTGGTGAATGGTAAATGGACTTGATCTTGTATTGCGCTTTTCTAGTGTTCTGACAACTCAAAGCGCTCACACCTACGTATTCGCATCCATTCACAAACTGATGGTAGAGGTTGCTATGCTAAGTGACCATCAGAAGTAACTAATACCATACACATACAAACGCAGCTGACGAAGCAGTGGGAGCAAATTGGGGTTAAATGTCTTGCCCAAGGACTCATCGGAGATGTAGCCCCGACCTTCCGGTTAGGAGATGACCGACTCTACCAACTGAGCCACAGCCAACCCTCTTCAGGGCTCTAAGTTGGTAGAGTCCAGCTTGGAGGTTGATTATACTAAATTAGTTGCAGCATCAACCTTCAGGTTCATTGGAGACTTCAAGACACAATGGTGAATATTCTCCCTGGATGTATGCCGCCTTGTATCACAACAACAATGCCCTCAAACCTAAGGCTCCATAGAGAGTGCTGCAAACTGCACAGCATATCAGCTGACATCTACGGAGGACCCTAGACCCAGCAGTGCAGAAAGAAGTCCAACAGGATCATCAAGAACCTCATTCAGCCCCGTCACAAACTGTTTACCAGCTGCCGTAGGGCAGACACTTCAGTATCACCATCAGTCCTGCACCAACAGGCTCAGGGACAGCTTCATCCCTATGGCCATGAGATTGCTGACAATCTTCAGCTGCCAGGCTCAAAACCACGTCTCTGTCACTTTATGCTTATGCTGTAATTTCTATATATATACTTATGTTGTTAACTACCACATTTGTATTTAATATATTATTTATCTTCCTATTTTTTAGGCAATTTGGCACTATTGTGACATTGTCACACTTCCTCTTGTCAAATCATATTTTTCACAGCTTTGATTTTCTTCTGATTTGTTTTTAGAAAACTAATGGATACATTAGCATTTTGTCAAATGAGTAATGGGGGAGGGGTAAAATAATGAGCAGGAAAAAGCTTTTTTTCCCTTGCTTTGTCATGTTTTTCATTCTTAAAAGGCTGTGGAAAACTGTAAAAACTACATCCAGGAAGTGGTATAAATAAAAAAAATACTTGAGTTTTCTGTGTTTCGACTCCACATTTTTTGTTAAATATAACAGAAGCTACAATGGGATAGAAAACGGGCTGAATCAAAACAGCAGGAAGCCTCACACTTCTCCCGATCTTTTCTTCAAAACTCGAAACTGCTGCTTCTCAAACTAAACAGCTACTTCCTGTTCCAGTTTATATGCTGCTGCGCACTGAGAGAGACAGAAAGTCCCTAAACTGATATTATCGGCTCCACTTCCAACCCATCACAGGATGTTTGACAGTGAACTTTTACCCAGGTTGAAGTTGTAGTCGACAGCCAGACAAACACAGCGGCTGCTTTTCCTCAGGAGGAGAAGAATTGATCAGTGTTGCGTCAAATATCAAATGCTGAATCATAGCTGGGAATTACCTTCTTATCCGTCTCCTTTCCTCCCACCTGCCCCTACACCCAACTCTTCCTCGCCTCTGCTGTCTTTCATGTCTTCAAAATCAGATCAGCAGAAACTGGGAACCATATAAAAGCCCACAAGCTATCAGTTTTTCACCAACTGATGTGCACATGAAATAGTTGAATATGGAAAAGTAAGACACAACTGCACAAAAGTAGATGCGATAAAATGCACAAATAAGTTCCCCTCTTCTTTCTGGTTAAAAGAAACACCAGGGTTGCCCCTTGTCACCGGTTCTGTTTGGGATTTTCATTGACAGGATCTCAAGGAGCAGCCGGGGAGAGGAAGGTTTCCAGTTTGGGGGCCTAAAAATCTCATCTCTGCTTTTTGCAGATGATGTGGTTTAGTTGGCTTACTCGTGCTGGGACCTCCAACAGGCATTGAGACGGTTTGCAGCCGAGTTTGAAGCGGCTGGGATGACGGTTAGCACCTCCAAGTCCAAGGCCATGGTTCTCTGCACGGAAATCAGTGGATTGCTCTCTCCGGGTGGGGAGTGAGTCCTTGCCCCAAGCATCTCAGGGTCTTGATGAGTGAGGGTAGGATGGAACGTGAGATTGACAGACGGATTGGCTCAGCAGCAGCAATAATGCAGGCGTTGTACTGGACCTTTGTGGTCAAGAGGGAGCTGAGCCTGAAGGCAAAGCTCTCGATTTACCGGTCGATCTTCGTCCCAACCCTCACCTATGAGCTATGGGTATTGACCGAAAGAATGAGATCACGGATACAAGGGGCGGTATGAGTTTCCTCTGGAGGGTGGCTGGGCTCAGCCTTAGAGATAGGGTGAGGAGCTCAGAAATTTGGGGGGAGATCGGAGTAGAGCTCCTGCTGCTATGCATCAAAATGAGCCGCCTCCCTTTAGAGAATTTCCGGGCACGCCCAACTGGGCGATTTCCCAAACAAGATGTTGCACACTCCCGCTTCGACAGCACAGACCGGACTACACCATGTTTTGTGTATGTAATGTTCATTGGTGGAAATTGTCTGTTGGGAAGAAACAGTCCTTTTAATTTAGTTTTGTCCATATGCAATGTCTCTTTTCCGACAGCCAATAGGAGGTGACGGCAACTTTCCTAAATGACATTTGTCCTCCATTCACTCTTGGCTGGTTCAGGTCACGAGATAAATGTTTCCTTCAGACTTCCTGATAATAGCTCCAACCATCAAAAGAAGTCGGGCCTCGAAACCCTCCCAGGTCTCCTTTATCACTTTTAAATGATTAACTACGTTTGTCATATAAAAGAGAAGGCGTGCCTTTTAATCCAGACCGAAGGAAAGGTGGGTGGTGATCACCTTGAAACATCAGGAGCGAGTTCTGATCAGATCAAGATGAAAGGCAAATAAAGAGGAAGAGGAGAAAAAAAGGAGGCTGGGGAGTGAGGTGACACTTCTTAACAAGGTAACAGAAGGAGAGAGGAATTCACTGAGGCACTCCGATAGGAGATATGAGGAAGACAGAAGGTCAGATTCATTAAAAAGATACAGGGGTATGTTTGATTTTCTTTGCCCCAAGCTATCAGCTCTCCAGAACAATCTCTCTGGCAGTGTGCTAGCCTGCAGATAATGATCAGTAATACACTGTCTGTATGGACAGCGGACAGGTAGAGATAGAAGTGGGAAAGGTGCAAAGAGCAAGCCTGATAAAGAACAACTTCAAGAGCATACACCTTTAAGATTGAGACTATTTTTGTGATAGATTATTGTGTGATTATTTTGAATTTCTGTATCTGAATTTAAAACTTGTTGCTCCAGATTTAAGTCTTTTGGGCTATTCAGCATATTTGCCTTAGTTGACCACCATAGGTCTTCACGGACAAAGATACTCAAAAGAATACACAAAAGTGTATTCATGGATCAATAAGGATAAATACATTATTATTTCTGATATTTCTGAATATTAAATTTTCTCAATAAGCCATGACATTAACATTTTGCTAACACAGGTTAGATATCTTAACCCAGCCAAAATAACAGATATATCTCCATTTCTGAGGGAATGAATGTAAACAGCAGTCTCTGGTGCCAAACTGTTTGCCAAAGCCCCGCACATTAGACTTTCACAACAAGGTTTTGCACCACCACAACAACGTCTAAAAAACACTGTGAGCACAGTTTGTTTGAAGTATTTTTCTGGTACTTTTCTAGTGAGGACAGTCTCAACAGGACACACTAGAAATCCTCTAAAGGCACTCTGCACACTGGACAACACGCCCGGAAAGAATCCTTGAGCAATTGGCATGTGTTTGGAGAGGATAGGAAGTGTGGAGGCAGAAGAGAGGAGAGCACAATCTGTCCTCCTGTGTGCTCTCTGTGGAGCTGTGAGAGAGAATTGCCAGAAAATGTTTAATTTCACAAGGGGATTTAGCCCATTCCGCCTCTGACAGCTCTCTTTGTTTTGTCGATGTCTTTGTTCAACAGTAGCTGACAGAAAATTCACTGATTGCTTTAAAAAATCTCATTGTCCATAACGAGTATGGACGTACTATATCACACATGATCACCAGCAGGATCCCTTAGTGACAGCTCAAGTCATAGTTTAATTTGAGAGAGTGAGGGTGGTAAATGTTGCAGAAGTGCTACCTCAGGAGGGGATGACAGACCAAATTAAATCCGTCTCTGTGTCGATGTATTTACGTCTTCTTACAAACAGGGACACAGCAGGAATGAATTTTCAGAGCGAATCAGGTTTATTGCTCAAAGGAACTCCACATATAAAGACATGAAAACCTTATGGGATCAACACTGGTATCTTTTACATATATGTCGAATATAAAAACACCACAGATTTCTACATTTTGAGAACATTTTAAAATATAAATGTACATGTAGGCTGCCATTGTTGTATACAATGGAATGCACTCTGTGTAGTGACGCCATTCTTTTCCCCATACACTTTCCCTGACCGGGTGTTGTCTGTTAACACTTTTTCAGATGGCAGTGTCAGTGAAGAGGACAATAATGAAGATGTTACTCTCAGTGTAGATCAAAGTGAATACAATCAGAGAAGTGAGGAGGGGAGAGTGAGGCTAATACGATGGTGTCTGTACGACAACTGTTTGTCAATGCTAATTTTAGACTCTGGTCTGCCCAGTTTTATATCACGCCGTCCCCCCCCACCACCTTCTGTGCTTTGGGTCTGTGGTCTGTGGTCATTATTTCATGTTTTTAAAGGCTACTGAATGTGAATGGGGCTCCATGTTCATTTGCATATGGGAGTGGGAAAGTGTGTTACCAGGTGACCACTGCAGACATTTGGAGATGCATTGATCTTGCCAGGTGTGAACAGCTGTGCTTACAGCTACAGTATGCAGTTATGATCAGCCAGGAAAAATTGCTGATAACAGATATTCAACCTCTCTCTCTCAGTTTGCACTGACGAGCAGTTGTCGTGCAGACACCATAGTAGCAGTCCGTCTCTCTATTTTATAAATCTAGGGTGTTTTTTCATATCTCATACATTTAAAAGATACCAGTGTTGATCCAATGAAGTCAGCATATCTTTAGCATATACAATTAACCTGTGATAGCAGCCTAATCTTTCACAATTTCCTGAATTTATGTCATTCCCAGACCATTTCTGCCTGGTGTCTTTGTATAACAATACTCTTGAGAGATTACATGATCATTTCTTTTACCAATTTGACACAATGTCTAAAGCTATGGGAAAGTTTCAACTCTTTTATTATAAAATCGCATCTGTCTATATCCTTTTTGCAATGAAAGGAAAATCTGGGAAATGGGGGAAATTTGACCCAACACTCTGCAGAATGACAGATTGGATGCTTGAGACAGAAAATAAATGAGCAGCAGAAAGAGAGTGAGGAGAAGTGTGGGAGAGATGTGACTAAAGCACACAGAGATATGCTCCCCACACACTCACTAACAGGTTGAGAAATAAAGGTTATTAGTGTGGCTGAGGCACAGGTACTCATATTTGAAGCCTTCCTCTCTGCCTCGTCTAATAAAAAACAATATTTGGCCTGCACTCCAAATAAACAGCATACTCCAGCACGAACTCTCTGTATCATCTACAACTATCTATTAAAATCGATTGAGGCACTGAAGTGAGAGAGATAGGAGATGGAGAGACAGCTCCTCTTCTTCTCTTTCTCTAATTCGTACAAGAGAGTCAGGTCTATCCAAAGAGACAAACTGACCTCCACTGTTTGTTGAATCCTGGGGCTCAGTGATGTCTTGTTCACACAGTATGATTTTTAAATGACACCAAAGATCAAACTGATGAATAGCAAGTTGCTGTTCCAGTTATCCTCAGTTATAGAACTCCATCATTAGTCTTATATTTCAGAATTGAGTAACTCTTTAGAATAATAATAAGCTATCTCCAGTAAATGAAGTATATCCTACCAATTAATATCTGTTTTTTTAAGGCATGGTCAATTGCCCTCTTTTCCAAAATCACTTTATATGAACTACATCTCCACATTTACACTCATGCTATTTTATTTCAGTTTCCATAATCTGAATGGGAAATTCATGTAGGATATATTTTGACTGAGAATACACTATGTAAAAAGCTATTCAATTTTACCCTCATATTAATAATATTAGCATATTAGGCTAATAAAGCATTAAAGGTTGTGTCATTGGCATGTCCACTATACTTCTTGCAAACAATCTTACAGTGCTATGTTTCACATTTTAATGCAACGAAAGCCATATTAGTCAATTAGCAGAAAAATATATGGTTATTAAGCATCTGAAATCCTAATTGGCCACTCACTTCTGATGGTCTGATGAAAAGAAAGAGTGAGTGACAACATGAGATGATGGTTTTAAACACAATAAAGTCAAACCAAGTGTTTGCAATCAGGCGACCCCGCTCTGACATAACTGGTTATAGGTGTGGCAGGGATAACAACATTCGAAGTTTAAGCAGGGAACAGCTTGTGTTAAATATGAGTCAAACTACCAGTATAGAAAAAAGTGTTTTCTACTTTTTAATCACTGTGATGCTATTGCACTGTTAATTCACTGAAAGGAGGGGTGATTAATCATGAAAATATCGGTGAGCTCAGTGGCCTCAGCAAAGCAATTACCTCTGCCATGATGATTAAAAAAAAGTATGAAATATATTGATGTCTTCTATTGTATATGATTCTAATGCTTTATTGAAACTCTTATATTAAAGCTCACTGCTACTTTAATTATGTCACTTCTGCCTGTCTGGCTTTTTTTTTTCTCCTGGTGTCACCATGACACTTTCCTCGTGTGTCCTCCCACACACAGATGGACTCACACACAGACATTCAAACACACACACACTTCTTGACACCCTATGTTTAAAACCCATGATCTCACATAGGATTTCACCAAAAAAAGTGCTAGCTTAAGCTGATATTACATGAAGTTATGGGAAAGTTTCAATACACCTTTAATGATTTATTTCACAAAACTTTTAAGTAATATATATAAACACAGTTTTCTCAAGTTTAATATGTAAATTAATGAACACTTACACTGTCCACAGTAAGTATTTTTTTGGCTATGATGTTGTTGTCTGTTGTTGAATGTGTTGCTTTGCGAGCAACAGTTGCAGACGCAGGTGTTGTGTAGACACAGATATTTACCAGTCTAGCATGAATGTTCAAACATTGCATGAACCTGCGGCTATCAGTTAACAGATGAGTGATCACACGATACTGTTACCATAGGAACACAATCTGACTCCACACAGTGTTTTTCCTCACCTACTGCCACATCCATCTGTTTACCATTTTGTGTTGCTGATCTAATGACAGATTCTATCAGGTCGGGAGACAACAAACACCCACTTCACTCATACCTGCAACCTCTGAATGCACAAGCATTTGGACCTGCTATTGCTCATTGATGGTCAGGCTGTACGGAGACACAGACTGGCATTCATAAGAAGAAGAAAGAGAAGTTTAAAGTTTTAAACAGAAAAGTTTGAGAATATAAGGCTGTACAGAGACTCTGTCTAAGATCTGGCAACACAGCTTGTTTCTTTTCACTCAAACTCTTTCAAAAAGTTCACGGACAGTGCCAGGCTTTCAGCAAAGTAAACAGATAATTACTGTATATTTTTTATTGGGCATAGATGGAGAATATTCAAGTTGCTACAAGACTTCTATTGTTACAGCATCACTGTCTGTTCCCTCAATCATTCCACCTGAAACTAATTAGCAAATACAAATTCTATTGTGGTGTAGGGTAATAGGGGTCAAATATTCCCATTAGACAGACAGACAGACAGACGGACAGACAGACAGAGATTCAAAACATAAATTCACACATCTACTCAAATTTAAACCCCTCCCACATCTGAAAGAGAGGAAGTCTGTAACGATAACAATCCATCCTTTTTTCTGCTGCTTTCCTGGAGATTGCATTTCTCCTCCAAAATCTCTCCATCCATCTACTGAAATCCTATTTTCATGACAAACAATAAGACACACACACTCACTCCGTCACTGCTCCCTGAAACTGTCAAAAAACAGACGGGGAGGGGTTGATGGGAACGGAGGGGAGGGGAAGGAAATAACTTGAGTAAGGGGAGGTGTGACAGGAAAAGAAATGGAATGACCGTGACTCTCCAGAGAATTTGAGGGATTACCTGTGAAAGTGCTTGTGTGTGTGTTTGTGTGTGTGTAGTCTTTATAGTGTGTTCCTGACGCAATCCTGTGAACCTGAAAATGGCTAAAATATAGATAGCCTTCTCTCTGTGTGCACATTCATCCTGTTGTAATACTATCCCTGCCTTTCCACCTGTACTTATCCATCCACCCATCTACATCTAGACAGATTGTCAGAAAAAAGGAAAGGAGGATGTTTGACCTGCCCAGCTGTAACTTTTACTGTATCTTTATAGACTTATGAACACATGAAGTGGACAAAGAAAGACTAACAATAGCTAACAACCTTAATGACAAGTCATTTGAACTGAATTGAAAGATATTGTCTGTGTAGTCATACAGATGATAAGTGAAAAAGTTAGCTAGCTATAAACAAACAATAATTATTTTAAGAACAGACTGAGCTTCAGTACTCACCAGCATTATCAGTCCTATGTGATGCTTTGCTGAGCTCCTGACCGGGCAAACAGGGACACAGCCCATCACATTTTATTGAGATGGACTTCCCAGACAGGCAGCTCTGAAACTCCAACTTGCACTGTAAAAAAAAAAAAAACACACACGTAAAAACCTGAGTAAAAGACGGACACAACTGATTATACATTTTAAGATCCATTCACTCATCACTGTTAGTTACAGCTCTGTAATAACCTCAGGTGCTTGTGAAGGTGCACTCTAAACAAGAGAGAAATTGAACAAATCAATCAATGTCATCAGGGTTCTCTCTGCCTGGGCTTGCAGACAAATTTATAGAAAAAAGAGTAGCATATGAAAATCATGTTTGGATGAAAAGGGGGCAACCTGGAGGGAGAGTCGAGGTGAAAAAACAGCCACTTTAATGTTTATTTCATATCTCACTCCACCAAACTAGAAAGTGGACCACAGTTTACAAGGCGTGAGCTATTGCATTTAATCTCTCAAGAAAGCTGTCCGCTGCACAGATTACAGCCGTTTTAATGTGAGTCAGTTTTCCTTTATTAAAGTGCATTACTGAATCACTTTAATGCCATTTTCATAAAACTATAGCACAGATTAGGAAGAGTCATGACTCCTGCAGACCAAATTCAAAACTTTAACGTGAACTTTCTTTGTTGGGCTGATTAAGGGAAAAAATTTGCTGAGACAGGATCGGCCATTTATCTTCGATGAACAGACACGTCCATTAGGAATCCATCTAGACATGCCATTAGACGCAGAGATGCCTACTGACATTGTGTTATTCACTGATGTACAAACCCTAATGCAATGCAAAAGCAAGATGGACGACTTCGGAATGTGATTTAACTGTATAAATCTAATTTCAGGTAAGTGAGGGGTAAGAAAATGTTTGGACTAGTTGGAGGAAAAAATCCAATTACAAGATCCCACCAAGAGGAATAATGAAAACTGAAATGAGTTATGTAAAGTGTGTTTGTGAGTCAAAGACAGAGTTTTGTCAGAGCAGGACCATGACTGTGCATAAACATCTATGCACATATCATGACACACACAGACTTAGCTTTATCCTGCCAGCACTTTCATTTCCCATGTTCAAATCCATCATTTCCTCCCTGTCACCTCTGTGAAAGTGCTGCTAATGTTGCTTAATGAAATTTGTTGACAAAGGAACAGTGCTCTGTCCTGCGCTTGACATATTAAATTAGCTGTCTGCAGAGGGAGATGGAGAGAGGAGAGAGAGAGAGAGAGCCCAGGCTATGGATGACCTCCCCCAGTCACTGTCAGCACACAGCGAGGCCCCATGAATCTTTATGTTTGTCTCTCTCCAGGGGTTAATGTGGTTTTGATGAAACAGTGTTTTAACACCTGACTCGGTGGAGTAAAAATAGAGGAGAGGATAGGGTGGGAGAGGACAGGGGGAGCAGAGAGAATAGAGGAGAGGGGAGGAAAGAGAGAAAGGACGATTTAAGAGAAGGAAAGTAATGGACTTAACTTAGTGGGCTGAGGCCTCTCTGGAGATAAGAGCTCTGTCCTCTTAATAGGATATTGAGTGTGTGTGTGTGTTTGAGTGTGTGTGCGGTTACGATGAGGGAGGCATGTAATGTAATAATAAAACATGAATAAGCTCAGGACCAGCAGCTCACTGGTGAGCAGAGTTTAAGTTGGGCCACTGGGACCCATCACTTCACCAGCTAACTGAACCCCTCCACTTAAATTACCGCAGAGAGCAGTGGTATCCCCTCTCCTGATTTTCCCTCCTTTTGTTCCTCCATTTGTTCTTCATTTTACACTTTTCCCTCCACAGCCCAGCTTTAGGCAGCTAGGGTTATAAGCTATTAAAAAAATCTATGTTCTGAGTCTGACCTCCCCTGATACAACGCCCTTTAACTCAGAATCTAAGGTTGTTTCATACTTCTTGGTTGAAAGCTTAACCCTGTATTTAAACTGTAAACAACACAATCCCAAAATAAGTGGAAGTTCATATATTTTCCAGCAGAGCAAAGCTAAGAAAGCACTACTTATGTGTGGGGGAAAAAACAAGCTATCCAGCAAAGACAGCATGACTGCATTTGAACGTTTCCTCTCAAAGGTTTGCTTTTATTGATTTTGTCTCCTCAGACACTCCTAAGAGTGTAAGGGTGAGTTAAAGGAACGTTCCTGACTGTAACACTGCAATTAACAAATAACAGTGACAACAGAGGGCAGGTGTCCTGAAAGCTCCTTGCTCACAGTACTTTACCGATATGTCTTTCACAAACACACACAGACCCAGAGACACTTCTGATATGGTCTCATTGTATGAGCTATATTGGATTGTGCTTCGCTCCTTGACGGCTAAAAACATAGGAATGATATGAACATGGATGTTTATGACAATGAACAGTCTATGAAACCAAGGACGGACTGCAGGTGTGGCTCAGTCGGTCATCTCTCCACGGAAAGGTCAAGGGCTCTATCCCCCATCTCCTTCAGCCACATGTCGAGGGATCCTTGGGCAAGACACTTAACCCCAAATTGCTCCTCCTGCTGCGTCCTCGTCGTTTGAATGTGTATGAATGGGATTAGTTAAAACACGTGTGAATGTGGTGTCAATGGGTAAATGTGACAATTAGTAAACGTGACCTGCGGTGTAAAAAGCTCTTTGAGTCGTCAGAAGACCAGAAAAGCGGTATAAAATCACAAGCCAATTTACCATTTACCCATTTCCTTAACTCCTCTGCTCATTTCCCCTTGACTCAACACAAAGGTTAGATCTTGCTTTTCCTTTCTCCTCTATCATGACATTATGACTTTGCGGCTGTCTGTAATTTAATGTAGCTGAGAATGAGCTGAGTCAAAGACTTAAGAGGCTAGAAATAGGATACATCAAGATGAGAATATGGAGTTGGGAGTACATATCCAGAAATTATTTTTAGCTGCCGGAAAGACCCCTGATTGGTAAACCCTGTTCTCAATCATGTAGGCAGAGATAAAGCAGACGAAGCAGACAAGTGGAAATGTGAAAAGGGATGAGAATAAAGAAAATCATCCAACTTGACAAAAAGAGAAGTAAGACATAAATTAATATACAAGCAACACAAACTCATACATCAAAACAACTCTAAAGGTCTTTTCTTTGTCC